GCTGGGTCATCCACAGTGCGGGCTGTTTGTAAGGTCCAGCATCTCCCTTTCACCAAGCCTGAGGGCAGGGTGGGCGATGATGCCCCCACCCAATCACCCAGACCCTCTAAGGGCTGCAGGACCTAGACCGGGAAGTCATGGACCGCGGTGGGGGGCAGCGGCCCAAGGAGCAGGCAGGCAGCAGGGCCGAGAAGAGGCCACAGAGCAGAGCAGAGCACGGCCCAAGCGTGCCCGGGAGTGGGGTTCCAGACCTCGCCTCTGCCAGGCCCTGGCCCTGGTTCTCTCATCTATAAAATGGGTGACAGCTCACAGGAGTTGCCCCAGCTCACCAGACAGCGGTGAGCTTTAAGGAGTTAAAACAGAAGCTCCCGGGCTCAGCCAGGCATGTGAGGGACCCTCGGGAAATACCAAGGGATGATGGTGACAATGACAGTGACAAAAGCAGCCACAGCTCAGGGGCCCCTCCCCCTGGCCGTCGCTGCCCCTCGCCCCAGCTCCAGGCTGTCACCGGCCGGAGGGGCAGGTGGGCCGAGGCCGGCCTTGGGCTCTGGAGCTCCGTGGTCCCTGCAGGAGAGGTACACACACCTACGTGTGCACAGTGACTTGTACACCTGCAAGGCGCCACATCCGGGCCCCATCCCCCTCAGCCCCTCCCACTTGTATCCCCGGAGGGCACCCACCCCAACCTCCCCCGCCTGGCTGAGTTCTGCAGTTCCGGTTGGTGTCAGAGAGGCTCTGGAACCCTCCACCTGGACCCCACCTCATTTCCCCCAGGGGCAGCAGGTCCCGAGGCCACTCCGGGTCACACAGCCCTGCGAGGGTGGAGCCTAGGGGAAGGGGGCCCCCGCCGGGGACAGCAGGCAGGGGGGTGCTTTGAAGTGGCTTTTCCCGGCCCAGCAGAGGGCACACGGGCTTACCTGTACACCTGGGGAGGACGCAGACCTCCCTCTGACCTCGCAGCCTGTCCCCACCCCAGGCCTCACCCAACACAGCCAGCCAAGGCCCCCTTCTCCAAGCCCCCACTACAGGAAGGGCGGGCCCCAGGGCTGCGGTGACCCAGACAGCCCTGCCCTAAGGGGTTAGTTCCCAGGCACTGCACCCCTCCCTGGGGCTGGACAGACGCTCTAACTCCCAGAGCTCACAGCCCCCAGTGGCCACAGGTCAGCGTGTGCATAGCAGGGAGCCTGATGGAGCCTTTCCTGCGAGGGGGCAGACGCCTGTGGGGCTGCCCTGAGGCGTCCAAGGAGAGGGCTGGGTCCCTCTTGGGAGCTGGTCCAGAGGCCCTGTCCCTTCCTTATCCCCCGGATGAGGTCTGATTTTTTCCATCCATACCTGCATCTGAGTTCGGGGTTCCCAAGCTTGGGGGCTGGGAGGAGGCAGCTGCTGGGTAAACGACACCCCGAGCCCAGCTGTGAGAGCCTGCCCCCAGCCACTGGGGCCCTGGCCACCACTTTCCCCAAGGCCCCCGCAGGCAACCCTTCACAGGCCTCGAATCATGGATCTCAGCTCTGCCTGGTCACCAGGGGGTTAACCAGCCAACCCTCTTATCTCCCCAGGGCTGGGGTAGGGTCCTCACCTCACAGACGCATCCCCCAGGGCAGCCCTGGCCAGGTCCCAAGAGAGGGAAGCCTGGGGGAGACGAGCGGGGGGGCTGGGGGGGGGTCACCCACGGCTGACCTCTGGGGCAGAGATTCCCTCTTCCCGTGCCTCTCTCACCCATCCCAGTAGCCCTGCTCTCAGGGCCCCCACCTGGCTGCAGTTGAGCTCCTGGGGCCCCAGCCCTCTGCTCCCTTCACTTGGCCTCCCTTCAGCATGTGCCCAGTGCCCGCTGAGTGCCCGTCCCACTAACTGCTCCCCAAGCCAGTGTGAGGGGCAGGCACTAATGTCACCCACCACTTTACAGATGAACGGAGGTACAGAGAGAAAAGCAGCTCACCCCAGTTCACACAGCTTGAGATGGCAAAGCAGAGCCCGAAGGAGGTTGGACTGCTTCGAGTTCATGCTCTGAGCTGCTTCCCCAGAGCTTCCCACGAGGCTCAGGATCTGGTGGGGAGGCAGGGCAGGAACGCACAACCACAAAACATGATGAGGTAGGAGGGAAGGGAGAGAGCAACTTATCGGGAAGGCCACAGACAGGAGGGGCCTTGCAAGCTGGGCATTGAGGGATGTGTAGGAGTTCAGCAAGTAGAGAAGAGGGCAAAGGAAGGGTCCTCCAAGTTGGGGAGCAATACGGGCCAAGGCCTAGGGGAGAGGCAGGCTTGCAGCTGGATGGGTTGGCAGGGACTGTGAGGTCCTGGTGGACTGGGACAGCAGGCTCCCTCCCGGGGGAGGGCCAGCAGGCCTGGCAGGGGCAGTTGCACAGAAGGAGGAAAACAGGTCCTTTAGCATTAGAAGGTGACTTGGGGGGTAAGGGAGGCTGGGCAAGGTGCAGGTGGGTGGGGAGGGAACTTGGCTTTGTAGTTTCAGCTTAGATGTCTCTCTTTTTGGTTCAAGCAGCAGGGATCGTGAAGGGGTCCAGATGCTGTCACAGACAACCAGTGCCCCTCCCACCCTGTCACTGTACCCCAAGGCTGGCAAGCATCAGCAGGGTGTCCAGCCTGCTGGGATGGGGAAATACCACCAGCAGCCTCTGTCTTGACTGCTCCAGGGCCATGAGCTCACATCCCACCTGGGGAGATTCACCAAGGGACAGCACAGCCCTGCACACCCAGCAGACGGCCCTTCATCTGGTCCAGCCTGGGAGGAGCCTTCAAAGAGCAAATCTCCTTCCGGAGAGACCAGGGATTTGGGGGCAGCTTCTGCCGCCCAACCCCCACCTCAGGAAATAGTCTCAGCCTTTTAATTATTTCTTAAAAAATACACATCCATTTTAGCGATTTGTTAATACAGAAAAAGTGACCAGAGGTTGCCTCCTTATGTATATTTTGCATTCTTAACTTGTTTTAATTACCTCATTTACTAGCTGTGTGACCTTGGGCAGGTTAGCTAACCTCTCTGTGCCTTGTTTCCCCATTTGTAACAGGAATAATAACAACACCCTGTACCTCATACGACTGGTGTGAGAATCAAACGGAAACATCACAGGGCAAGGCACAGCACCCACCTGACGTTGGGTCTCCTATTCAGGACTTTACCAGATTTATGCCAAGCAAAAAACGCAAGTCCCTCCCCCCTCCCCTCCCCCACAGCCCCAACAGGGGCCCAGGTTTGCTGTGGATCTTCCATTTTTCCTTGGATCTTTTTTTTTTTTTTTTTGAGTGGAGGGGTGTCTCAACCCCCATCGAGCTGAGACCCCCCTTTTACACTTCTCCTCACCCCTGGTGCTGGCGGGGCATCTTCTGGTATCGTTCAAACTCTCCGTGCCCTGGGCTCTGAGGGCCGCGGAGGCAGCGCGGGTTCTATCGACTTCGCGGTGCCGCGGCCTCGGCGCCGGTTCTGCTGACGGACCTCGCTGGTGAGACCGCAGTCTTGAGCGCGCGGGAGCCCGTGGCACAGCCAGGTTCCAGGACCCTGAGCTCTCGGGGACCTCTCTCTGCTCTCCTGGGGCCCCGCCCACCGCGAAAGAGAGAGAGCCGAGATCCACTGGCGGGGTCTGCAGGGGGTAGGGCGGGGAGGGGCCGCTTCGACCCCCCGAGGGGAGCACATGGGGAGCAGGTAACCATGGGAGACCATCGCGGCAGCGTGGACCCGGGGCTCTGATGGCGGGGGAGGGCCTGGGAGCGGTGGGTAAAGGGGATACTTAAGACTCCTACTCCTTCTCCCAATGGCACACTGCCAAGGCTTGTGAAGAGTCCAGAGCCCTCCTGGAAACTTCCGCGGGGTCCCCAGCCCAGGGTGAGAGTGGTGGCCTTGCCTGCCACATTCCAGGGGCCCTGGGTGGCCCGATGTGCACCCCGAATTACAGTCTGGTGCCTGAGCACATGGAGAGGAGCGAGTGCCAGGCCTCCCCACCCCTCCGCAAGGCGAAAGTGCCCTGGCACTCGTGGAGTCGCCCTGGCCCCAGTCAGCATCCCTGGACCTACGAGAAGGGACTCCAGGGACGGCCTATTTCTGCCAACGAAAAACAATCATTGCCCCTAGCACAGCAGACAAGGTTCCTCTGGTGAGCCCTGCTCCCACCCAGCCTGGGCGCCCAGCGCCTGCTCTTCTGTGGGGAGGCTTGGGTCATCAGTCAGCGAAGCTGCTCAGGTGGCCCGTTTCACCAAGGTGCTGGCACCAGCGGGCCCACCCAGGGAGTGCCAGGAGCCACCTCCAGACCCACTCATCCCACATTTCTGGTGCCTGGAGGAGACTCTTTGGGAATTCCCCAAAGCGAAAGGCCCACCTAGGGGTGGAGGCGAGAAGCTGGGCAGGGACCTTGTGGAAAGGAAGTGCATGCAGATGGAGACTGCCCACCCGACCTGGGCCCCCCCCAGCTGGGAATGAGTGAGGCAGCTGCCCTGCTTGGTAAGAAACTGAGGAAACCGTGAGACTCCCCCTGGACTTCGCGGGGGCAGTGGCCATGGTACAGCGGTTTGAGTTCAGGGAAACGAAGCCAAGCAGTCCCTTTGGAAGCAGGACCCCTGCTCTGGGCCCCAGACCAGGGGCGCACTGGGGGGTCTTTACCACTGTGTCCGTGATGACGAGGCCACATTCACGGACTCATCCACAGACGGCACCAGACACTATGCCAGCCTTAGCGGAAGCCTGGGACTGGCGGAGGGAGGGCTGTGGATTTGCGAAAACCCCAAACAAATTTAGAGAAGTCTTCGCGCTGGACTACTCTGGGGCACCAAGCACCCGGCTGGTTCGTACCGCCTGCGTTGGCCGGGACTCGGCGTTGGGTGCCCCGCGCCGTGCTTCCAGTCGCCTTTCCCGCAGAGCCCCGCGCGCCCAGCCGGATCCGGTCACGTGGCGACGCGGCCGCAGCCCCGGAGCTGACCCCGAGGGGAGGGCCCCGGGAGGGAAGGGCCCCGGGAGGGAAGGGGTGGTGCGGCGGGGGCGGGCCGGGGCGGGGCGGCCCGGAGGGGCGGCCGGAGCACCGGGATTCCCTGCGGAACCGCGCGGACCCCGGCTCCCAGTCTCCAGCCCGCCTGTCGCCGCCTGCCGCGCCCGCGCCCTCTGCTCCCTCCGCGCCCTCCGGTCCTCACGACCAGCCAGTGAGTACCCAGCTGGGCCTGGCAGCGCGCCCTCCCCAGCCCGGCGCCTTCTCCCAGCGCCCAGACCCTGCGTCCTGCGGACCTGCCGGGTTTCTCCTTCTCAGCGCCCACCGTGCCCACCCGGGAACCTCCGAAGCCCCGGCTGGGGAGGAGGTGAGCTCGACGTTCCCGCTGCACCCGGGATGCCCCATGAGCCGCTCCGAGCCGCCCCCGCCCCCTGCCGTCTGTCCCTGCAGGTTCCAGGACCCGCCCCAAGAACCGCCGGGCTGGGGAGCGAGGAGCGCGGCCTGAGCGACAGCACCTGCGGGGCACAGTGGCCGTGACCTCGACACCCGTCCCTCTTCCCTGCAGGTCAAGGCCGCGCCAGGGAAGATGTACCAGAGCCTGGCGCTGGCCCCGAGCCCCAGCCAAGCCGCCTACGCGGATTCGGCGGCCTTTCTGCACACCCCGGGCGCCGGCTCCCCGGTGTTCGTGCCGCCGGCGCGCGTCCCCTCCATGCTGCCCTACCTGCCGGCGTGTGAGCCGGGCCCGCGGGCTCCCGCGATCGCCGGGCATCCCGGCTGGGCGCAGGCAGCCGCGGCGGACTCGTCGGCATTCGGCTCCCGCAGCCCGCACCCGCCGGCCGCTCCGCCGCCCGGGGCCACCGCCTTCCCCTTTGCGCACAGCACCCCGGGACCTGGCGGCGGCGGCGGCGCAGGGGCCCGGGACGGCGGCGCCTTTCAGGGCGCGATGCTGGCTCGCGAGCAGTACCCGGCCCCGCTCGGGCGGCCCGTGGGCTCCTCGTACCCCACCGCGTACCCGGCCTACGTGAGCACCGAGGTGGCCCCGTCTTGGACCTCTGGACCCTTGGACGGCAGCGTCCTGCACAGCCTACAGGGCCGCCCGGCTGGCCTCCCGGGCCACAGAGCCACCTTCGGTGAGTGCGGGACTGGGAGGTGGCTCCACTGACTGGGGTCCTGGGTGCTGGCCGTACTGGGGTGCAAACCCGCACCCTACGAAATGCACCCTCCAGAGTCAGGGCTTTCCCAGCCGGGTCCGACACCAGCATGGAGCGGGCCCAGAACCCCTGGGACCTGTAAACCTGGACGGAACGCAGCGGCTGCCCGCCCCCAGACGAAAACCCCGTCCTGAGTTTCTTTTTACACACCTTGATATTTGTACTTTTCATCCCTCCGAACCCAGTATTCTGGGATCGAGCCATTTAGATCCTACGTTAAACGTTTTTATGAAAAGTTTTGGAAATGATTATTTTTTAAAGCTCAGAATACCGGTTTATCTAAGTAAACCACCACATTCATCTCTGTTCTAGAATGTTTATGTATTCTAATTTGAGACCCAGTTGCAATCGCTCTCCAGGGTATAAATTTGGGTAATCGGACTCCAGGCCCTTAAAGCGGAGAGTCGCTCCCCTTCCCTCCCTCCCTCCTGAGTCGAGGGCGCCACCGGCTCTTTCTCACCCCACCCTCAAAACTGAGGGCCACGCCTTCTTTTGCTGCCCAGTCTTTTAGCCTACACCCCGCCCCCAGCGCCTCAGCGCAGGAAGCGGGATCCACTTGGCCGGGCCGCCAGGGCGCCCCACGCCTGGCGCCCACCCCTGGCCAGGCGATGATTGATCCCCGCCCCGCCCCCACCCGGCGCCCAAGTGTCTCCAGCGCCTGGCCAGGTCTGCTGGGGGCCAGGAGTCCTCGCCCCAGCAGCTCAAGTGGGAGGACAGTGCTGAAACCGCGCAGGCCGACAGTGAAGGCAACGCGGTCCTCGTGGGATCCCACGATCCGATTCGGCCTCACTGCCGCTGCCCGCCCTCCAGATCGACCCACTTTGCAGAGGACAAGGCCCTCGTCCTCTGCCAGTGTAGATGCTCCTGCCTCCCCAGCGAATTAAAATTTCCAGTGCTGGTGCTGGATCCTGTTCAGAGCGGGGCAATTCCCTGCCGCCTGCCCCGAGGTTGGATTCGTTCACCCTCCCCCCACCTTTTAAAGCAGCCCTGAGGAGTGATTGAGACCTGGCACGAACTTCACTGTATGTAAACTTAAACTTAAAAAAGAAAGGTAAAGTAGATTTTGAAGCAAAATAAAATAAAGGCACAAAAAGGAAGGGAAGGAGAAGGTGCTGTGGACATGGCGGCTCCCAGGAAGGGGCAGAGCCTCACCCAGCAGCCACCCGCCTTCCCGCAGCGGCCGACCTCCTGGAGGAGTTCCCCGGCGAGGGGCGCGAGTGTGTCAACTGTGGGGCCCTGTCCACGCCGCTGTGGCGCCGGGACGGCACCGGCCACTACCTGTGCAACGCCTGCGGTCTCTACCACAAGATGAACGGCGTCAACCGGCCCCTCACGCGGCCGCAGAAGCGCCTGGTGAGTGAGGGCAGCCACAGGGCAGGAGGGGGCGGTGCTTCTGCGGCCACGGCCGGGGCGCCAGTGGGGCCCCAGGAGGCCCGGGCGGAGTGGCAGCGCCCGGTCCACTGTCATGGGCCCCCTGGTCTGGGGGCCACGCGCCCACACTGTCTGCGGGGTCTCCCAGAAGAACTCGGCTGTCCCAAGCTCGGGCCTGAACCTCCTGGGCAGGGGATCACTCTGCCCCCGCTGAGGGCTCAGCCCTGCGGCTCCAAGGGGCTTTGGGCTGGCCAGGTCGGGGGGGTGCAGAGAGGCAAGGTGACCTGACCCCAGGGAGGGGACTGGAGGGGAAAGTGGCTACTCAGTGCTGGCTTTGTCGGAGGACGTTGAATGTTACGGGGGAGGGACCCTGGGCCCGCTGCCTCTGATACCGCGAGGATGGGACTAGACCAGGTCTGTGGCTGTTCCCTGGGCAAAACTTGTTTTCACTTTTGGTTTCTTCTGCTGTATGGCTGGGTAGCGAGTAAGGGACTGGGAGCCCGACTTCTGCCCCCAGCAGGGCAGAGTCCCAGAAGCAGCATAAAGGTTTCAGGGTCCTTTGTTCTCTACCATTTCACAGGCAAATTTTGATGCTCAAGTAATTTTGCAAATAAGTGGCAGGGCCCGCTGATGTGGGCCAGCTGTCCAGTCAGTGAGGCCGCGGTGGCTCCCGGTTCCGGGTCCGGGCAGGGTTGTGTTTCTGGGCTGATGCTGGTGTGAGCCCTGTAGGGCCAGGCGGCTGGTTCTGGTGTGTCGGGCCCCGAGGAGTGTGGAAGGGCTTTCCGTGGCTGACGCTGTGGGATAGCTGTGCCATGGCTGCTGGCCTGGGCCACGGGGCGGTCAGGTGCTGGCCTGGGCCACGGGGCGGTCGGGTGCTGGCCTTTACTGGAAATTCGAAGGCCCGGCTATGGCAGCGCCGGGGCCAGACGCTTTGGGGCCCCAAACTGGGTGGGCAGGAAGCAGGACTGACTCGGTCGGGCAGCTTGAGGGCAGCCGCTGTTTTTCTTCCTCTGATCTGGCCTGGCATTTGGGGCTCTGCGGCTCCCCCAGCCTCCCTCCACCCATGCTGTGCCTCTCAGAGGAAGGGGGGCCTCAGAGTCCACGTCACCCCAAGTCTCGTCTCTGCCCCTGTTGATCATGCCCCCAGCCCCAGGCATGCTGCACCGGCCTGATATCTGGTGTGGCCTCAGGGAAGGGGAAACTGAGGCCAAGGGACAGGGTCCTGGGGGCTGCGTGCGACCCAGACCTGACCCCGAGCAGCGGGCCGGTCCCCTCCTCTGGCTCCCTGCACTGTCCCCGGGCCAAGCCCTAAACTGGGTGCCAAGGATGCACTGCTGAACGGGAGATGCAGGGCTCCCTGCCTCTACCCACATCCCTCGCGGGGCTCAACTCCCAGCAGAAAATTCCTGACCTTGGGGGTGGGCGGGCCAGGGCCACCATCTCCACCCTGAGGCGTTTACCGTCACATCAGCCGGATGACCACCCGGGGCTCCGAGACACTGAGTGACTTCCCTGGGCATGCAGCCCGCTGGCGGCCAGCCCCGGGCTCGGACCAGGACTGTGGCCTCAGGCTCCCACGAGGGCCCCACGAGGGCTGAGACCCTGCTCCTGCCCTGGGTCTTCTTGCCCAGGCCCCTGTGAGATGAATTCAGGGACTGCCCCCTTGCCTGCTGGGAAGGTCAATTAGACGGCGTGTGCAGAGCACTTGGACGGCCGTGGCCGGTGTGGGAGGGCCGGGGTCGGCCGCTTGGCCTGGCGAGGCCCGTTTCGTAGTCTGAGGACGTGGGATATTTAGCTTTGGGGGGCCCCCAGGGTGAGGGATCCCTGCACACCTGCTTGTCTCCCCGAGGCCTCAGGATCGGCCCGGCCCTGGACACCCCCGAGTCCAGGCCCACTTGGATCTGATTGTAGAACATGCCAAGGAAGCGTTTGCCTAGTGGGGCTGGGCCCGGGGGATTTCTCAGGGCCCCTCTGCTCCCTGTCTCTCCTGAGCAGCATCCTGGGGGGGTCCTCTGACTGGCTGCGGGGTGCCCACCTGTCACTCAGGGCAGGCGGCCCCGTGGCTTGCCCGGTGGCTGGTCCTGGCAGGGCCAGGCTCGCTGTGAAAACCCTGAGATTCTTGGAGTCCTGAGACCAGAGCCCAGGCCACGTGCTCCTGGCCATGGGGGCTGGGCCGGCCACCCCAGACCTGCCCCCGCTCCAGTGCCTTGCCCTCCCTCGCGTGCGGGCAGAAGTGACGCCCCAGGAGGGGGCCCTCCAGGAAGAACTGATCCTCCCCTCTTGCAAATAATTCCAAACGTCCTAGAAGCGTGTCACCAAGGATACAGGAACGTGACGATAACAAGCGTGCACCCCCCTCCCGGTAGGAACCTGTCTTTTTTACCCTTTGCCTCCCGTGTGCATCCTCGGTCACAGGCTGGGGGGTTACACCTTTGACCCGAGGCTTCCATCAGTGTAGACGAGCAGGGAGGGTGGTCCTGTCCCTGTGGCCAGGGGCTCTACGAGCGCCCCTCGGCCCGGCCTGACCCCAAAATGTTGGAGCCCAGCAGCCAGCGTCCGCGGACGGCAGGCCTGTTATCCCGAGGCCGGTTCTGACGCCAGCTCCGGGACGTGGCCGGCGCCACGGAGGGCCCAGCATCCTTCAAAGGCTCACCGACCTGGGTGCTCCTTCCTGCACAGCCCGCCTCACAGACTTGTGTCCTGAGCACGCTGTGCCCCGAGCAACGCCAGGCTCCCCCCGTCCATCAGGTTAAGTGTCCCCACGTCTCCCCTGCCAAGAGCACCCAGAGGACCCGTTTGAAACGGGAGCATCTCTGCGGCTCCACCACCTGCAACCTTAACTTTCCCAGCCGCGTCGCCGCCCTCTGCTCTCCCATGCCCCCGCCTCTCCGCCAGCCCCCCACCCAGCTCTGCGCTGCCCACGGCCCTGGTCCCCTGGTGTCCGGATGCTCGCGGAGCCTGGAGCTCAGGCTGGCTCTGCTGCTGGCTTTGAAGTTGCACTTCTTTTGAAAAGAACAGACCAAAAAAGAAAAACAAAACGAAACCTGGAGAGGCCTGGCAGTTAAGGGCCCTGAGAGTGGCCGGGCCTGGCGGTCTGTCCCGACCGCGAGCGAGGAAGGACAGAGGGAGGCTCCGTGCATCCAGGGGGTGCGGGCAGCCCCGGGGACGTGGCCGCTGAGTGTGTTCAGCCGAGAAAGGAGGTTCTGTCCCCTCCGGGACCACCCCCGCACCTCTGGCCCCTCATTGTCTGAGCCTCAGTTCCCCCCGTAAAACGCAGGCAGCTGAGGGGATGGAAAAAGATACAGGAGCGAGCACTGCGAGAATTTTTTCAAGGTCATTCTTTTTTCCCATTTTCTTGATTTTAGTCTGATTTCTAGTTTCTCGATTTTAATTTATGCTCGCTGGAGAGAGGTTCAAATGTGGCTTCCAGATTCCCCCGCACCCCCAGGGTCTGGGTGATGGGTTCACACCACCTGGGCTTGTGTCCTGCCTACATGCGGTCCAGCTGCTGTAGCTTCTCCCCAGGACCCACAGTGGTGTATGTACCTCCACTGCTTCCGCAATGCACGGGCGACCGTGGGGGACGCTTGGGGTGCACGTGTGTCTGCGCCCGTGCCCACATGTGTGCAGCCTTGCGGGCGTGCTGTTGGAAACAGTGCTGATGTGAAGCCTTCGCGTGGGTCTCTTTACACCCTCGCGGGAGTGTTTCGGTAGGAAGGATTTTAGTAGGAAGTGGCCTGACGGCCGGCCAAGGAGACAGCATTCCTGTGATTCCTACAGGAATGATGCTAAAATTTTGGGGGAATGTGAGATGGCAATGTGAACTCGAAGGGAGCAGCTGTTGGTAAAAGACCCTGAGGGTCCCAGCTGGATTGGGAGGAGGGGCCTCAGGCCATGGTCCCCTCCTTGGTCTGAAGGCACAGCTGGAGTTGGGGACCGCGATGGGGCCCCAGAAGGTAGGTTAGGGTCACCAGATAAAATACAGAATGCACATTTAGATGTGAATTTCAGATAAACAACGAATAGCGTTTTAGAATAAATATGTCCCTAATGTTGCATGGGGCATACTTACACAAAGTATTTGCTGCTCATCTGAAATTCACATCTAGCTGGGCATCCTGTTTGTTTGTTTGCTAAATCTGGGAACCCTGGGGAGGTCCCAAGGCCTCCTCCCACCTTAGGAAAATGGATGGACTGGGGGTCAGGGGATCCTGGGCCGGGGCAGGGAGCAGGGCTGGGAGTGGGCTCCGGGAGAGCAGGGGGCCTCCATGTGGACACAGCTCCCGGCAGCCAAGAGGCAGGTGGAAAGGAGAGAAGGGAGCAGAGCGGGGGAGACTCGAACTGTGTCCAGTAAAAGCAGCTGCATTCTAGACAAGATCAGGATGTGGCCGCCGTCTTCCCAGGGAGGCCCTCCGGCTGGGGGCCTGCTTGACCCCAGGGCCAGGGCTCCTGCCTCAGAGTGTGTCCCACCATCCGTCCCTTCCGCTTCTGCTGGGCCTGGGCCAGCCGCCAGCTCTCTCCATTCCAGCAGGTGCACAGGTCCCACCCCTAGGAAGCCTGGGGAGACCACTGGAGGTGCGGGCCGTGGCCTGGAGGCCGCCGGCCAGAGCATGGGGTCTCCCCAGCCAGGCCGGGAGCTCCCGCCCTGCCCTCCCTCTGGAGCCTCCAAGGCCTCATCCCTTCCTTGTCTTGTGGCCCTTTTGTTCCGGATCCTGGGGCAGAGTCCTGCCTGGAGACCGAAGGCCGAGCCTTAGATTAAACAGGGCGCAATTCCCTGGAGCCTCTGGTGGCAGCCTGGGCCTGGGGGAGGGGAGGGCGAGGAGGCGTTTCCAGCTCTGCGTTTTCTTGGGAATGGCTGGTGCCGGGGGTTCCAGACGGGCCCCACTCTCCCTCCCGGGACAGTCACAGGGAGAGCCTGTGCCCTCGAACAGCTGACAGCCTGGGGGAAGGGAGTGGGCATGAGACAGTCGGCAAGGCTGGCAGCTCCCTCAGTGCAGAAGGAAGGACCTCAGAGACGGCAGACAGACGGGGCAACTGAGGCTATCCCGGAGAGCTCAGCCCTACCCCGGGACAGATTCCTTTTGGGGTTTCTTTCGTCCATCTTGCTTTTGGTGGTCCTCTGGCTTGGTCCTGGTCTGGAGAGTACTGAGGAGAGAACACACGTCCTTGGGACGATTTTGAGTGTGGAGTCTCACGGGCTTCTGTCCTTGTGCCCCGGGGTGCCACTGAAACACCGTAGCGGATGTGACTTGGTCTGACCCCGGCTGCCACGGGGAGGTCGGGGTAAAGACCCTGCATCACTGTGGTCCGGGCGAGGGGGCAGGGGACTGGACCAGGCAGGGGCCGTGCAAATGAAGGAAAAGGTCTGACAGATTCAGGGCATCTGAGGGCAGGGGCTGGGGAGGGGTGTGCCACCCGCAGGCTGTGCTGGGGGGCGAGGGAGGGGCTTTGGGCCTGAGGTGCCCTGGGGGGCCCTGGGCAGCAGAGAGCATCTGGAGCTCCCAGACTGCAGGGGACAGGACCCCATGCACACACCGAAATGGGAGTCGGGCAGAATCCTTGCCTGGGAGTGAGGGACTGGGCTGTGGGAGCTGGAGGACCTTGAGCTGGTGGGAGGACCGGGGTCAGGCCTCCGACAGCTGCTCTCCAGCCAGCCAGCCAGCTCGGCAGAGCCCCTGGACCCCCGGGCTCGTTAGGCCCCGATTCCTGGGTGAGCCCTGTCTGGGTCCCCACTGGGCCCGCACGTGCAGGGAGGTTTGGGGACCTTGGTTGGATACGGACCTGGGAGGTCGGCCTCTGGAAGGTTCTGGAAGGGCCGTCTTGCCCCAGTGTGAAGCATGTGAGCAGCAAGGCAGGGGTGGGCATCGGGGACCCGCGGCCCACAGTCCGGCGCAGGTGCTGAGCTGAGCATGGGCTCGAGCCCCAAGTCTTGGGAGGCAAGGCCCAGAGGGACCGGCAGGCCCCCTGGATGTTCAGCCCGGGGCCGGACCCGAGGGCAGCCCTGTGACTCCTAGGGGTGCTGCTGCACCACAGAAATACGGGGCTAAGGCCCAGCATTGGTTAAAAAGAGGCCGCAACAGACGCCCAGCTGCCTGTCTGCAGGGCTATTCACAAGATCCTGACCCCACAAGAGGCCTGTGGCAGGTCTGCTGTCACCCCCATTTTACTGATAGGGAAGCTGAGGCCCAGAAGGGTGAAGTGACCTGTCCCAGGGCTAGCAGGGCACCAGGTCGCGGCTTCGAGGAATCCCGGGCAGGCCTCAGGACCTTAGTGCCCAAAGGCCTTCTCACCCAGCCCCACACGGCCCCACGCCCCGAGCCCAGCATCCATCCGTCCCGGCCCGGTGCACCTGCCCCGCTGAGCCGAGCGGCAGGGCCCCAGCCCCGAGCCCTGCTCACCCCAGCCTCCTGCCCACAGTCGTCCTCACGCCGGGCCGGCCTCTGCTGCAGCAACTGCGGCACCACCAGCACGACGCTCTGGCGGCGCAGCGCGGACGGCGAGCCGGTGTGCAACGCCTGCGGGCTCTACGCAAAGCTGCACGGGGTGAGCTGGACTCTCCCTGGCCCGAGGCGGGGCTGAGGAGCGGGGGGGGGGGGGCGGGGGGCAGGGGTGTGGATCGGGCGGGGCCTGAGCTGAGCGTGTACGCGCCTGTGCACACGTGGCCCCACTGCCTGCACGTGCCCACGTGTTACGGTTAGGCCCGTGGTACAGATGGGCTCACAGAGGCTGTAGCATCACTGTGGCTTCCCCGCAGCCATTCAGCCGGGGGCAGAGGCTGGACACCCCCAGAGCCCTCCTGGCCCCCCGGCTCCTGGAGGCTGGGGTGGGACGGGCTTCTCCCCACCAGGCCTGGACGGGCTTCTCCCCACCAGGCCTGGACGAAAGTGCCAAGCCCGGGGGTAGCAGCTCCCCAAACAGGGCCGCAGGAGTGACCAGCTCTGCAGGGCTGAGATCGGAGCAGGTGGCCATGCAAGAGGCCCCAGGGGTGAGCTCGGACGGGGAGCAGCCGTCCAACTGCTCCCGACCAACCCCACCAGGTACCGCGGCCCCTGGCGATGAAGAAGGAAAGCATCCAGACACGGAAACGGAAGCCGAAGAGCATCTCCAAGACCAAAGGCTCCTCAGGTTCACAGGCCAGGGCCGTGGGAGGCCGGGAGGGAGCCCAGGCCCTCCAGTGAGGCACACCTTCTCCCTGTGGAATCACTTTGAGTATCTCACATTCCACCATTAGAGATTCACATGTTTGGTGCAAGCATCATCGTCCTGAAGTGCACATACCCCGCATTGTCCTGGGATGGTCTGGTCTGGGGAGGGGCTGGGGTGGCGGGAGTTCACCCAGCAGTGGGGCAGGAGGTCCAGTGGAGGAAGCCACACCCAGCACCTCCAACCCCCCGCGTGACCAAGGCAACCAGATCTGGCAGCTTCTGTAAATGCCCTGCCTTCCCTCCCAGGATCCACAGGGAACACCACAGCCTCCCCGCCGGCCTCTGTCCCTGACCTGGAGATTTCAGCGGCCACTTTGAAACCTGAGCCCAGTCTGGCATCCCCTTCGTGCCCCGGGCCCAGCGTCACCTCCCAGGTAAAGAGGTCAGGGTGGGATGGGGTGCCCAGAGCTGGCTCCCAGGCCCCTCCTGGGGGACCCCTGGCACCCCAGCCAGGTCAGGGCCCCCACGGGCCCCTGCCGGAAGCTTGGGGCCGGACACACAGCTGGCCGCTGGTGCCAGGAACTGACCTGTGGCCGACGCCGGCTGAGAGCCCCTGTTGATCCTCACAAGGGGTCCCCACCCCATTCCAGGGGCTGAGGAGGCCCCTTAGGGCAAATCGCCCTGTCACAGGGCTCCCAACCTCAAGTGAGCCGGCCACTGTTCCCGAGTCTCACGCGTGCCGTGTCCTCCCTGCAGGCCTCCACACAGGTGGACGACACCCTGGCCCCCAGCCACTTGGAGTTCAAATTCGAGCCCGAGGACTTTGCCTTGCCTTCTGCAGCCCTGGGCCCCCAGGCCGGCCTCGGCGGGACCCTGCGCCAGGAGGCCTGGTGTGCGCTGGCCTTGGCCTAGGTCCCCGGGGCCCCCACCAGGACCCACCTCGCTACTTCTTCGCTCCAGCCCAGCAGAGAGACCGCCAGCCCGGACGCTGGAAGAGACTGGAGCCAGCCGGACCTGGAGGCCTTCTGTGCAGACGGCAGTCGGGCCCCAGAACAGGAGGAAGGCTGGTGGGAGAAGGGCTCGAGCCCCTCCCCAGACAGCAAGGGACCCCCAAATGTAGGGCAAGGCTCTGAACCCTACCAGCCACTCCGGCCATGGCTGACTGGGGCTCCCACCCCCACTTGACTTCTGTCCTCAAGGCTTGCCATCATCATGTTTACGGGTTGCAGGCGTTGGAAAAACCCCACCTTCCTGTTGTGCAACCAGGATCACAGGTGAAATCACTGAGGCCAGGCAGCTAGCAGGGATGAGGAGGGCAGCCTGCTGGAGGGCCTCCTGGCCTCGGGCCGTCCATTTCCCACATTCGACCATAGAGCCACGGCACGGAGACCTTGCCCTCCTCGGAGCACGGGATGGCCAGGGACAGATGTGCAGGTCGCACACTGTACCAGGATGCCACCCGGGGTCGGGGGGGCGTTCACGTTGTAGTCATCGTGGACTTGTATTTATTTGGACAGTTTTCCCAGACAGAGCAGTAAAGGGCCTTGTTCTGACTGAATCTGTGGATTGTAACCATTTCTGATGGGCACAGTACCCGGGGCCCAGTTCTGACCCACACGGGCACTCTCGGGGCTGGTGGTTGGGTGACCACAGGTCCTGGCTCACCTGGGACTGCCCCAGCAGAATTAGCAATAACTCCCGTTTCGCGTACAAAGCTGTCCCCTCCCAGGGCTGGGTGATAAATTAGTTAGTCGGGGCGCTGGCTAGGGGCAGCTCTGCCCACGGGGGCTGATGAATGGCTACTGACAGCCCGGGGGCAGAGGCGGTGGGGGGGGGGGGGGGGAGCATGCCCTGCAGAAGGGCCACAGCGTCCCTCCGTCCCATTGCTGCCGTTCACCGACAAGAACTTCTGATTTTTCCACGGAAGCCAGAAACCTGGCTTTTTTTTTTTTTAATGTAAAGTCTTCCAAGTGAAAGCTTCCCCCCACCCCCCAACTCCCAGGTCGATTCAAAAGTCTTTTAAATTTTGTGAGCCATCTAAACCAGCCGCCATTGCGCCGTCCTATTTAAAACATCGCTTTCATATTTAAAAATGCTCCTCCTTGGTGGCAGCTTCCCGAATGTGTTCCTTCATCGTGAACTTGTACCTCAGAGATTCAACCAGCTCAGTTTCCACGTGTTGTTGACCTTTTTTTTTTTAAGACAAATGCTGCCATAAGAAAAAAAAATGTAAAATAAAGATTTCAATCTTGCTTGCCTCTCCCCATCACCTGTGGGATTCCCGGCCTCGCCTAGAAACGCATCTCTGGGGGCCGGGCAGCTGGACCTCACTGGCCACTCTGAGTCACGTCAGGAGCTCTCAAGGGCATCAGTAGGACTTGACGAGACCCGTAAACACTGGGTGGCTTCGAGGTCACCACCAGCATGAGGGCAGGACACTGGGTGGGGTGGGCAGGGCCCAGCCTGGGGACCACACTGTGAGACGTCATCACTTTGGGGTCAGGCAGACTCGGGTCAGGTCCCTGTCCTGCCCCCTACTGCCCTCCTGGCCCGGGGTAGGGGGCACAGAGCAAGCCAGGATTTGGGCAGTGGTGGCCCCAGCGGCCCCTGTGGGTCTCGTGCCCCTGACGGGCACAGCAGGCAGCGTTGGATGAACCCTGGGGACGCGGGGGCACGAGGCATGAATCAGGCCCCCTGTGTTGAGGGCATCGGCCCCCACTCACCACCTGGGTGTCCCCACGAAGTCACGAGCCTCTGTGATCAGGGACCCCACCCTCCCAGCAGGGGGGGCTGCGGTACAGGCCACCCAGATCCGGACGACCTGAGGGGCCAGTAAAATGCAGACACTCAGGGCCGGGGGTCAGATCGGTGACGGGGGGGACCTGGGGACCTGCACGTCCACAAGTACTCAGGGCCCTTGGCAGCCACGCGACCAGGGCCGGGCGTCGGAGGAAATGCCTCGGGGACGGGGTCTGGAGCAGAGCACAAATAGCTCTCTCCAGAGCGGGCTGGACGGGGAGATGGGAACTGAAGGGCCTGCAAGGGCTGTGCCCGTGGGCGTCCGTGCTGGGTGGGCCAGAGGTGAGGCCGCTGCCATCTCGTCTCCGCGCCACACAGGCCTGGGGCCGCCTTCCCGGGAGCCCACCCACAGATGAGGAAAAAAGCACAGAAAGGGTCGCCCCGCTCGGCGGGGCAGAGCCCCTTCCCACCCTTTATCCCGCCTCCTCCCACCCCTCTCAGGGCTCGTGATGGGGCGTTGGGCCCCGAGCTGAGCGGGAGACCAATTATCGAGCAAGTGGCAGTGGCCTCCGCGGGCCGCCCCACCAGGCACCCCCGGAACCTCTCAAAGGCAAGACCAGACCAGACCTTCTGAGGCACCCAGGGGACAGGGTGGGAGGGGGCGCAGAGGGGAAGCAAAGGCCCTGGAGGAAGGAGCCACAAGGACAGGGACAGACGAGGTGGCCGGGAGCACCTGGCGAGGACCACGTGACCACGTGACCACTACCACAGTCACAGTGGGAGCGGCCCTCCACCGGGCAGGTGCCACTCGCTGTGTCGCCCGGCGCATCCCTGGCTTTTCCCTCCAAGGGGGGCACCAGTCTCCCTCTTCCCTGACGAGAAAAACCCAGGCACCTGAGAAGTAACACTCGGCTCAGAGAGGTGACACCAGGCGCGGGGCCCCAGCAGCGCCCTGACCAGCCCAAGGAGTCTTCCTAGAGGTGCCCACAGTGCGATGGGCAGAACAGGCAGGGTGGACAAGAGGGGCTGGATGCTCCATCCACGAGGACAGGTCCCGAGGGAGAGTGTTTGGCAAAGAGGGAAGGAAGAAGCGAACTCATCCTCCGTTTTCATCCTTTTTCAGGTCATGCCCAGGAGGAGGGAGGCTGGGCCTCCACCTCTGGGCCTGAGGAGCTTCAGGCAGAGCTGCTCAATTTAAGCCTTTCTCCCCAGTGCCTCTTCGGGTCCCGGAAGCTGTAGGACCTGGAGCCTTAATATAGCCGCCAGCACCCCCTTGCTGCAGCTCTTCCTCCCACCAGCCCGCCTCAAGGCTCTGCCCGGCGGCCATAAACAACCGGATGGGCTGGGGAGGCTGGTGGGAGTGGGCAGCCGCAGGCCGCTTATCAGACGACAGGACGGAAAGGAAGACCACTTCATCTGCGCTGCCTGGCCGCCCGCACCTCACTTCCCACATCTTTCAAGCTAAAGCCGACATCCGGGGCTGTGGGGGAGGGGCGCCACAGCTCCTCCAGCCTGCAAGGGTCCCCTCTGTCCGCGGGAAGTGTCTACTGAGCCCCCGCGGGGCTCCGTCCTGGACGACTGGAGAAGGGAGAAGACAGCCAGCGTCCCCTCGACTGGGGTTTTTTGATCCAGAACTATTTCCAAAGTATCCCTTCTCCTTTCCACGTAAAGCCCTTAACCCACGGCCTCGCTCCAGACGCGGAACAGGGAGACCCAAAGCATCCCCAGGCAGCCCTGCAGCGCTCACACCTGGAAGCAGAAGCAGCCACCCCGCCCGTGCCTCCTCGCAGAGGGCGTCAGGGTGGCGGCCCCAGCGGCTCCCCATCGCCCTGGTTTTCCGAGTCCAGCTGCCGTCGGTCAGCAGGGTATCCGCTGCCCTCAGCGGGCGCACGCTCATCCCACAGACCCTTTCTGTGGAGCGTCGCCACGGCCTCCCGCGAGCCGCCTGCCCCAGCTCAATCCCTCAGGGCAGCCGCGGCCACGCGTCCAGCTGTGCCCAGACCCAAGAGCTTCCCGGTGGGGCTGTGGCTAAGGGTCGTTTCCCCTTTGTTACCGAAAAAGATGGCTCTTTAAAACGGGTGCCGGTCCTCTAAGGTGCTTGTCTGAAAATGTAACGTGCTTATTAAGAAGGAAAAATCGTTCTTTGGGGAAAGCAATGCAGGTTACCGACTCTTTATTTGACCAAGTAAGGACCTTTCTTAGAGAAGACCAGTTGCTGCTGTCACCAGCATGAAAGACAGGCCATTCTGCCACCAAACACGAGCAGGCTCAGGGATGGGGCAACGCATGTGCAGTCCTCCCTGCCCGTCCTCTGCCACATGTCCGTGGGCAGTTCCTGGGGCTCGGGGCGGCTGTTCTCCAGGGTGTGTGGACAGGCATTCAGCAAGATGATGACCAGGCTCCCCATTCCCAGCCCCCACGTGGACCCCCACTCAGCAGAGAAGAAAGGAGGCCAGAGAGACCTGGCACCCCCTGAGGCTGTGAGGCTGCAGGCCCTGGGGTGCCCCGTCCTCCCCTCACGCACCTCGGTAGGGGCTGAACCCACCCCAGAGAAGAGGGGGCCAGTGAGCCCCACAGTCCCGCTGGAGCCGGGGCGGGGGTGGCCGGCCCTCGATGGCTACGTGGAAGCCACAGCGGGCAGCCCCCCCTGCAGTGCCCTGTGAGGCCCGCCAAGATGTTGACACGGACGGCTCCAGCCGCCTTATTTATTATCTGATAAAGGGTTCTCGGCACTGCGGGTGGACGGCGTCTGGCCGTGCTGGGGCCTGGGAGAGGGAGGAGGCTGGGTGGGGGGACGGGAGGCCAGAGCAGGCCTCCACACTGGACTCTGGGGCCGGACACACTGAGGAATCTGGATTTTCCCTCTCCTTCTCCGGCCAACAGCCTGCCTTCTCCACTGCCAACGAGCCAGCAGGCCAAGGAGAACCTCTGCTCTTGTGCGGAGCGGCCCGGGGGACCTCCTGTTTGGACGTCACACCCCCTGAGACCTGCGCCCCCTGTGCTGCTAGACCCTGCTCCCCCTGGTTCCAGGAAAACCCCGAGCTTCGGCCCTCCTCTCCGTCCACCCCCGCCCACCCAATTATTGCTGCAGCCCATCGTGCACCCCTCTGCTTGGCCTGGAGCTCAGACTTTCCATGATGCAAATCTGGGCCTGTTTCTCCTTTGCTTCCAAACACTCGGCCCAGGTACTGCCCCAGCAACTGCACAGATGGCCCAGCCATGACATCCTGGTGGCCCCAGGGCCCCCCTCTCCTGGCACCTGCATCCACTCTTGGGTACGGGGACCCTTGACAGCATCCAGACACATCACACCTCCGGGTCTTTGCACGTGCCGTTCCCTCTGACTGTGACGCCTTCCTCCTGTGCGCCTAACCGGAGACGTGGTAGCCGGGGGTCGAGACCCCTGACGCCCCCTCCTCCACAGAGCCTTCCTCAGGCTGTTCTAGGAGGGTCTGAATCCACAGGTATCCACCAGGCAGAGTTGTCACAGAACGACCCAGATGACCCACAAGAGGGGATCCGTTAAATGGCCGAGGGAACGTATGTAGTGAGCCCTTAAAGAGTGTTTGACAATTACAACTTATTCTAATGTTTTTTCCCCGAACCTTCTGTGAGTCGCTTTTATAACCATGAAGAAGACAACACAGGCACCCTGCACGGGGTCTCCGTGGCCAGCCCTGCCCACCAGCATCACTGCCTCTTCGTGCACTGTGGGCCTTAGGGGAAACCCGCAGGAGGCTGCATGGGAAGGGGAGTTGGGGGTGGCACTCCAGGACAGGTGGGGACCATCTGAGGCCCCCTGGGGGCCTGGTCATCCTGGAGCCCAGCTTAGAACCCACGTACATCTCTCCCCACGGGAATTGGGCAAGGCAGGCGGTGGCCACTGCCCCAGGCGGCCTGTGCCTCCCCCTTGGCAGTGATGCCTCTTGCCCTGGCCAGTCACTTCTTGTCTGTCCATCCTCACCTTAAAGGTCAGAGAGGCCCTGCTCGTCCACACCGCTCCAAGACGGGGCCCCCGCCCCCGGTGCTTCCCCCCTGCTCATCCTGTGGCCTTCCTGGCGCTTGCCCATCTCGTAACCACAGATTTGAATATTCCCGTGCTCTCGTGGTCTCGCCCACTAGAAGCAGCTTCCCTGAGTGCAAGGGCCTCATCCAGCCCGTTCCCCCGTGTCCGGCGATGAGCCCGGTGCCCGGCCGACACTCAGTGATGGAGGACTGAATGCACGGGTGGACCATGTGCCTGGCCCCTGCTGACTCGTAGGGGTGGGCTGACAAGTCACGGCCCCCCACAAAGCCCATCCATCCACCCTGTGGGTGGTGGGCTTCTGACTGTCTCTGTCACCCTTCGGGGCTCTCAGTCCCGCTGAGGATGCCAGGGACAGGGACAGAGGGGGTGAGGTGGGGTCCCTGGGGGGCCTGGGGGAGGGGGTACCCAGAAGCACG